AATTGAGATTTTGTCTTCTATCTACTGCAAATGTGGCTCCTTTCTTTTTCCTTTTTTTGGCTTTTTAATTTTTCATGATCAGGGAATTAATATTTGAAAAGCCATCATTTTCCGGGTTGATGGGGAAGAGCCGTCGGGGAGAGAGATGGAAAGTAGGCCGCCTCCTGGGGGCGCATTGTCATGGGCAATGACAATAAAAAGAGCCCTTAAAAGGAGAGTTGGGTTTAATTTATTTTGTTTTTGACATTTATTATTTTTTAAATTATTTTTAAAAGAGATAGTATTAATGCAACTAATTTAAAAAATATTTTATAAATAAATAATTTAATTATTTTTAATCTACTTAAATTATAAAGTAAATCTTAAGATATAGTATATTCATTTGAGCATATTCATATATTTATACAGGTATCTCATTCAATATGGATAATTGTGTCATTCCATTGCACATATTTATATATTTGTTTGTATTGGTTGATTTAAGTAAATTTTTGTTTATTTATCTATCTTGTATTATATAAGTCATAATTAAAAAGTTGTTTATATATTTCAACCGAGGGTTATATCCCCTACGCGGGCGCCTACCATGACGAGGCCCGAGGGGCTTGCCTCCCTTAATTTTTTGTGGGCCTGTTTAAAATGAAGCCGTTGAGCCTAAAACAAAGTCCGCGCTGCTCAAATAGTGGATTTAGACGAGAGTTGATGAGCAAATGGCTTTCAAAGTCTGCTGTCAAGGACGAGAGAAACTAGGCATTGGATCATCTGGTGCAGTTGGAACGGGAATGAAGTCAACCTTGTGACTTTGACGCAGACCCCCGCATGATTTACACTTCCCAAGTTGCACAGGTACCAACCTTCACATTCCGGCGAAGTTGGGTGGGACGGCCATTTCGACTTACTTGTACTCACCATATTACTCGAATTCTAAATCCAGAAAAGCCAATAGTCTCTCTTGCCTACGGTAAAAACTCCTTACATATACAGACGCACGCACGCACGCACACACACCAGGGGCATGAGATTGCAACTTCCTCAAAAGTAATGAAGCAACAAAGAATGAATTGCATGGAAAGCTGGGCTTTAACATAATTCCTCAAGCCTCAAATACTGCATCGTTTGGAAGATGAGTAAAATGAGAGTGACAATTGAGGCGGATGAGCAGGACACTGAATTTGGCGAAAGTGAAATGAAAAAGTCTGGAAGCCATGCACTGTCGCTCCCCGTTGGCACTTCCCCACTCCCATTTTCTGGAGCTGAATCTCTTGCCGATTTCTGACTGCATTTGTATATACATTTATAATGAACGTAAAAATTAATTTTCAAATGAGAAAATTAACAAGAAATTAAGAAATGATTGAAATTGAAAACATCAATCACACAATGGGATTATAACTGAGATATTGCATTGTATATTTATTTCCATGCAGAGCAGCCTGGCATCGGCGATATCTTTATGTGTCTGCCACGCAAATATGATTCAGGCATTAACTTGTGCCACACATAAAGTACGCCTAGGGGAGAAAGACCATAACAGAGCGAACAATAAAACTCCAATGAAAGTTCATTAGATTAAATTAATAAAATAAATAATTAGGTCCACCAAAAAAATAATTGGACGAACACATCGGACCACTTTACGAATTCACGTAGCTAGAATATTTTAATGACGAAATCATAAAAAGGAATAGAATCGGGTACCTTGCGGTGGCAGGGCAGAATGTGATTGTGTAATCCGCACCACTACACGTAAATGTGCTCGTGGAATCGTCGTAGGCATAGCTGTATGATTTGGGACATGCCGATTTGAATATGTGGGAATAAACCGACGGCTTACAAGTGGCGGGTGAAGCATACGCGCCGCTGCAGCAGTACTCGGGACTCCGAAATGCCTCACAGGCACTCTTGCAAGCCGCATGCTCCCCGACCCGCAACTCATTCGGGCACCGCCGATTCAGATCCGTCACGCAACCTGTGGAGGCGCAGGACCCCGAACCTCCAGCCGCATCAATCTGCACAGGCAAGTTGTAGCCGTCCACGAGGCTGACGTCGTAATAGTCTTGGCTACCCGACCTGATGGTGAACTCCGCCAGTGTTGCGGGTGGGGCTGCTCCGGCCCCATTGCACTCGACCTGGTTGGAGCCACAGTCCCCGGTGACGCAGCTACCCTGCCCGCTGTTCGGGTCGAAAGTACAGTCGGTTCGGCCCCAGAGCCTTCCAGACCAGCTGGGCGGGACCTGGAAACTCCGAGATCCACCCGGTTGAAGCTCAAATCCGGTGGTGCTCAGCGCGGAGGTGCCTGCATTGGCCAGAATGCCAGGCCACACAGTGTAGTCACACTTGTTGGTGACAGTGAAGGTAGCAGCCGATGCACCTATATATATATATATATATCCAATGAATCAAACGCGAACAGCCAAATATAAAAACTAGCTGACAGAGTAGGAATCGTGTTATGCAAATCGCAAGATATAATGATGAAGCAGAATTACGACGCACCCCTCAGAAGCAGAAGAGAAATGAGATGAATGCACAGGGAGTAACGAGGAAGAAAGAAGAAGTGCATTGAAAGACTGAGATGGAGTAGGAGGCGAGGGTGAGAAGTAATGTAATAAGAATATATGGAGAAGGAGGGTAATGAGTGATGATATGTAGCAGGTTTATTACAATTTTATATGGCGGACGTGACAGTTAGAGCTGCAGAAGTGAGAAAGAAGGGGAGGAGAATAGAAAGAGTGGAAGGAGAAAGAGGATGAGGTCATAAAGAGAGGTCGGGTAAGACGAAACGATGAAAATGCGAGCGAATGAGGGATGTATAAACGTGGAGGCAGGCTCACCAACTGCCCAACGGCAACACAACAGGGGGCGGGCGCTTCATTCTAAAGCAAACTTGGGCGGGTCTACTTCCTCTGGCATGTTCCCATTGGGTTTCCATTCCAAGTCTCGCGCCCTTGCATTTCTGACCTGGCTTTCTTCTTTTCTTAATGCAAAAAGAATTCGTAGATTCCATTGTACCAAGCCAGTCTTAATGATGCATGGGTGATGGGAAGACCACTGAAGCGAGGCATGCCATGGGTTTCATCATCATATTAGGGGTCATAATGACTTTTGGGGCACACCTTCATTTGCTCTGAGTGAATGAGAGCGCTAAAACAACAGAATCAAATGAATATCGCCAACGAAAACTGGGTATCTTCAAACTCCATACCAAGCCCAGGCATGCGCAGTCAACATTGACATGACGGAAACTTTACTTTGAATGTTACTATGATTGTGAGTTGCATAACTTAATTTTTTTTTTTTGGTAACCAGTTATATAACTTAATTAGCGCAAGCAAAAGCAATTTTTCTTCAAAAATCGTGCTCTCCTCTTTTTCATTTTTTATTTTTCTCTTATTCGCATATACAGATTCCATGCTGATTAAGATTATTATAATTGTAGGAGTAGATTTATCAAACACGGGACAGTGCGTCTCACATTTTCAACATGGAATCTACGTTGGTTATATTCCGAGTTACTTTGCCTAACAAGGATACAACGAGAAGTCAGAATCTCTCTCATTTTTCTGATCAAATATCTGTTTAGTAAAAGAATTTTTTCCTATACGGAATCACATTCCCAACTGTGTCCCAAACAGAAAATATCCATGTTCAATCAATCAGGCGCATCTCATGGCTTCACTTTGATGGGTATGAAATCCAAAGAAGCTCATATATTCATGCGAGATTCTACCATAAAACTTAATCCTACAAATGGAAGAACCCGGTCTAAAACCAGCTCTTCCCAGCCGCGGCAGTTTTTTTATTCTGTTTGGTCTCATAACGAGAGGACGTGGTTTCAATCAAACGCGGCCGGCCGCGCTTGCGTGGAACATTCCAAGTTAGAGTTTGCCCAGAGAAACGTCCAGTCAGGATGGCCGAGTGGTCTAAGGCGCCAGACTCAAGTTCTGGTCCTCGTGAGAGGGCGTGGGTTCAAATCCCACTTCTGACAGTTTTGCCATTTCTTTGGTTAGTGGGCTCCCCTTATACATTGTGCCAGCTTCTAGGCCCAACGACAAATCATAACAGATCCACTTTAATACTCCGCATGAGGGGCCCATGATGCATTTGGACATCTGTGCAGAAGAGTTGGTAAAAAGTAAAGACGCATCTGCCAAAAGATTTCCGGTTAAACTGACCGCTGTTTCTTTTCTCGTCGTTCGCTCAAACACGAAAACGTTTTCGTAGATCTGCGAGAGATCAAGAGGGGCTAATTAGTCTTTGACAGAGTTTTTATTTATTTTTTATTTTATTTTTTCATACCAAAATAATTAACCCTGCATTTATTCGGTCAGGTAAAACATAGAATTAGGATATTCACAGCAGAAATCATTAACGGGTAAAAGATGTAGTTTTATCTTTAATCTTATCTCTCATATGCATTTAATACCTCAATCTTTTTAGGGATGTAATTTCACCAATGATCTTTTTATTTTAGTGCAATATTAAGTCTATGTATATGTTTAGTAATGGGTAGGATTGCATTAAAATGACAAAAAATAATGGGTGGAATTGACTCCTCAGCCAATTATAATCGCAGATGACTTTTTTCCCCCTTAATTATCTCAAACTGTGAAGCATGGGCATCTGACTTGGAGGGGGCGGCGGAGGCAGCTTCACTATTGCAAAGGCGGCCAAATTATATTATGCATTAATATTGAAGGCGGGTGAAGTGAATGCTGCCTGGTTTGGTGTCGACTGTCATGTCATGCATATATATGTGGCGGCTTTTGTTGATTGCTCACCTTCGCTCTTCGCATCCCGCCACAACGTTCATACTACATGCCACGTGCTAACACTCGCATCATTTTTTCCCCTCCTTTGGCACGAGGGCGCGTTTATTTTATATTATCCCCTCCGCATCTCCGATACTTTCTTTGTTATTGCCCAAAAAGAAAAAATATAACCCCAAAACAAGAGTGTAAACTGGTAGCACTGATGGACTGAAATGCGAGTCCATTCCGTTCGTAAATTATAATTATTCAAGTAGTACTAAGGTCCTCCTACACTGTTATAAACTACTATAAAGGAATCCCATCGCCCCAATCCAAAATAATTCTAAACCATATAATAGGGAGGGGGAAAAAAACCGGTTCATTAGCCTCTCTGCCTACATCGCCTACTTTCTTTTGTCGTTCTTTTTCAACTGGCCAACTGCCACCACCGAAGTCCGCCTTCACGGTGTCGGCGCCAATGAGAGTCGGAGGGTGAGAACGGATGTGTCACGTCCTCGTCAGCTGCGGGCCAGCGCTGGGCCCGGCAGCTGGGGAGGGTCGTGGAAGACGTGGAAGTCAGTGCAGTAGGAGCAGGAGGCTGAAAAGCCAAACGGTCATTGCCACGCGAGCAATAGGCCCGAATTTGGACAAGTGGGTCCCCCCTGATATTTCGCTCTGAGCAGCAGCTCCTTCATACACAATCGTGCTGTTCCTTGGTGATGCGGGTGTGCTCCTCGTGTCTTCCCCTCCTTCCGATGCTTTCTGACTGCAAAACAACGCCCCCGTTATGATTTGTTTTGACCCTCTCCCCCCACAAACCACATAAAAAATCAGCCGTACTAATACAACCAAACCTGGTGTTAGGTGTCGGACAAAACGTTATGGTATAATCTGCGGAGGCGCACGTAAATGTGCTCGTCTTATCGTCATACGCGTAGCTGTAGGCGCGTGGGCAGGCGCTTTTGAATATCTCCGAGTAGGCGGATGGCCTGCAGGTATCTGGCGTCGCATACGCCCCGCTGCAGCAATACTGCGGGGAGCCGAATGCCTCGCAGGCGCTCTTGCACGCCACCCCTTGTTTCCCATCCACGCTCGCAACCTTGAGCTCTGACGGACACGCGCCATTCAGATCCCCCACGCAGCCCGTGCTGGAGCAGTTGTCGCCCGAACCCCCTTGAGGGACCACCAGCATAGGCACGTTGTAACCGTCTACCAGGCTGACGTCGAAGAAATCCAGGCCGCCATCACCGTTCAGAGTGAATTCTGCCAGCGTGGCCGGCGGTGCGGCCCCATTGCCGGCGCATTCCAGCGTGCCCGAGCCGCAATCCCCGGTTACGCACGAGAACTTGCCGCTGGTGTCCTGGGAGCAGAGAGTCCGACCCCAGAAGCGGCCTCCCCAAGAGGTGGGTGCAGAGATCGTCTTAGACTCTCCCGTCTGCAGAACGAAACCGGTGATTGAAAGAGGCGTAACTCCAGCGTTGGATAGAATGCCTGGCCACACCGTGTAGTCGCATTTGTTAACTATTGTGAATGTAGTTGGAATTACTCCTGCAAGTAAGCATACCACGAATACATTAGACCCCTACAATTTTAGAACTCGGGCCAATACAGCTATGACTATAATTTGATCTCGCATCATGATTCTTCGGAGTTGAAGCTCGATTACCTGATGCCGATACATGAAGTGTTAATAAAAATGAAAACAATAACGTAAGGCGGTCCATCCGCAAATCCACGGAGGCGACGGGCAGTGGCCAGTGAGAAAATTAAGAAGAATGAAAGAAGAAGAAAATATGAAAAGCAGGGGTTTGTTTATTATAAGGCAGAGCAACTGACCGAGTTGGAAGGCGTATTTATAGACGAGTGACCTCTTTTACTATTTGTTATTTTACTTGTCTCTTCTGACTCTGAGCGCTGAGATGTGAAGTTTATTGAAAAAAACATTGAAAAAACAGCTTATTGAAAAAGTAGCTTATGGAGAAGTGAAGTTGAGTAAAAGCTAAATTGAATAAGCTAAATTGTGTTTGGATTAGAGTTTAGAAAAGCAGCTTATTTGCAAAAGTGAGATTGATAAAAAAGTTGTTTGGATAATGATTGAGCAAAAGTAAGTTTGGTTATAAAATGACCAAATAGATGAGTTTTAATAAATAATAAAACATGATTAAAAAATAATTTCACATAATATAATGAAATTAAAATAATTTAATATGAAGAAGTCATAAAAATATTTTAAATATAAAATAAAATATGAAAAAATAAAAATATATTTTTAGGAGTATATTTAAAATAAAAGTATATTTCTAGCTTATTTATTACTTTCAATTAATTTTAACTAATTTTTTATTATCTACAAATTAGTTATTTCAGGCTTATAATAAGAACCAAATGAGATAATAAATTTCTTAACTTTCTCTCTCTCCATATTTTAAAAGCTATAAGTCATAAGCCATAAGTCATAAGCTGTTAATTTTAGCTTATAGCTTATTGTAGCTTTTCAGACAAAAGCCCGATTGCAAAAAAGCCCAACCAAACAGACCTATTATGTCATTCAGGCTTATGGAGCTTATAAGCTACTTATAAGCTCAAATTAAGTGATGCCAAACAGGTACTAAGGTGGCTGGGAATTGTCAGAACAGTTGGTGGGCCCATTCTAAACCTAAACGAGTCTGGACGTGTACGGTTGAAGCCTGCCAGGCGCTACCTGGGTCGAGTAACGGTCTTCTCTTATTCTGGCTTTTGTTTTTGCTTAAAATAATGTTCTGTCTTTTTAAAAAAATGTTGAGTCTAACTGAACAAGTGACTAATAATAAGTGCGATAAAATTCTTCTATAATATCTGGGTGGGGACTTCTTACCCACGTATTGTCTTGAGTTAGCAAGAAACGGGTTGAAGGCCCCCTATTATTCACCTGAAAATATAAGTGTGATAAAATCCATATCCTTTCTCCTGATGGGCTAAAATGCAGGAGAAAAAGGAATGCTGGCAATAAAAAATGAAAAGGAACCGTAGCCTATCGGAGGGGGCAGTTGCGCAGTTAGAAATAAAGAGATTTTTTTTTAATCCAAAATACCATACGGTCTTCTAGATATGTGAGCTCATTCATTTGTATGGATCAGTATGGCAACGATTAAAACATAAAAGAATGAAGAAATTGACAACTGCTCGCACTCGTAGGCACAGGAGAAGCACGATAATCCAATGATGAGAGTTTACATGTACATGGAAGGCACAGGACAGGCAACGGTCGTTTCCATGGAACCAATGATGGGAGTAAATTGGAAAGGGCTTTGCACTGGACTCCAAAAACCTCACGATCCTTGGTACAAGTTACCAGGGCCTTCCAGGTTCGCAACTCTTTTCCCAACCTTCCAACTCCCCCCTTTTGTTGCCTCACTGGCCACTGCATTCCCTCACCGCGCTAATTCGTACTTTCATTTAAATCAACTCCGATTAATTTTCTTTACTCAGAAAAATTGCCCAATATAATACTGCGTTGTACGGATATGATTCGGGAGTATTGCAAAAAAGAGTGCTACTAGTAATTAATAATATTATGATTGAGGGGAACAGGGGAAGCATGGAGCCCATATGGCTGGAGCTGGTAATTAATTAAGAAGCAATTGGGTGATTGGGTCTGAATTGGCAAGCTTTTCAATTCGCACACGTTCTATTTATTTTATGCACTCCTCTCCTGACCAGTGGATCCCGGCATGCTCCGTTTTACTGCGCAGCCGGTTCCTTCATCTGTGGGGTCCCGTCCGCCAAATCTCACAATCCAAATTAACTTCCACTCCCTACAAACAAGTCTGGTGGCGAAATTCGTTGGACCAACTGCTTCTGCATATTTAATTTCAAACATTATCCGAACTCACAGGCGTTGAAAAGTAGGCGAGTCAAATATGGGGATTAATAGCTGATTAAAATATCTTTCTTGTAGGGATTGGATTGGGCAAGTGAATGGGTGCATATTTCTGTGTTTCTCGATCCTGTCGCTCTCCTTTCGCTTGATGCTATCAGCCTTTAATTTATCGACTCTTCAAACCCCCCCGCTCCTTGTCTTGCCACTATATTCCCCCTTTTTAAGCCGCGTAATTGGTGGTGAATCTTTCATACTTACATGCGTGCACGCAATCGTTTGCATCAGTTTTAATTCATGTTTGCGAAAATCGGATGTGAAGAACAGGAGATCCCTGTTTAATTTCTGTGGTGCTACGAGCATAAAGAATATATCCCCTGCAATTAACACCAGTAAGGGTGGTGGTTACCAAAACCCACCATTATGGGTCAATCCTCTTCCAAGCCATGGTTTCCAATGGATTTGCAGCTCTTTTCCTTCCCACTCATACGCTAAGAAAAATAAAGAGTTATGCGCGCCATCTTTAAATTAAGCATCTTTAATTTCCTGAATAAATAGGCAATCAGTGTGTTTGAAACAGAGCATGCTCGTAGATGTAATTAACTTAAACGTCAGTTTCAATAGGTTTGAAACTAAGAATCAGGAAATATCTTCATAAGCAGCATAAGAGGGAGGTAAACCATGTATCGTGAAATAAATATCATTGAACAAAAGGGGCCCGAGAGAGAGAGAGCACTCTACCTTGGTGTCGTAAGGCACAATTGAATTACACAAAGATGAACAGCTGCCCTGATTAATAAGAAAGTGACTTCAAAATATCTTATTCGCCGTCCTAATAGTGTGCGGAGTTAGTATTATTCTTGAGTTCTGTAATCCTGGTGGATAATTCATTGGCATTGTTTGAAGTTATGTTCAAAATGAAAGAGCCACTCTATTTAATAAGAAAAAGAACAGTAGTTTCGGCTTACGAGGGAATTTGGGAACTGACTAGCTCGTTCATGAAATCCAAGAACAGCAGCCTCGTACTCCAAGCGAGCACGAAAGCTTCCCCTAACAAGTAATTGAACCTCTCTCCGACATCATTATCCCATTCACACGATGCACAGAATGACGAATTCGTTACTATCCACAACAGGTTTTGGTCAGGTATTGAGCCATGGTTGAACATGGTGCAAAGGGAAGACCAATCTCAAGTTGTTACCCAAATGATTGTATTTTATTGCTTCCAATCTTCACAACCAATTGGTCCTTACGTCTTTGAATCGGCCTAAAGTTTCTCACTGGATTCCCATAATTTTTTCGGAGGTCCTTTTGTCTTTTACACAGGACTTCTTTTTTATCTCTCACAGGTTCCTCAATTTGGTCTTTTGTGGGATCGTATTTTTCAGTTGGATTCTTCGTAAATAAATAAATCTCTCTTAATTAAATTTCTGCAAAAACAAATGAACACTTCCTCTAATCCTTAATATTAGAACTAGTTGACTAATTTGAGTAAATTAAGTAAACTAATTAAGTTAGTTCTTTGTAATAAGTATTATATTTTTTAAAATATCTTCACTAATTAAATGTATTGGCTAGAACTACTATTATTACAAGGATTGTTTTAAAAAAAATAGATAAATATGAGAGACAAAATATATTAGAATCTTATATTTATGATCAAAATAAAAATTAAATGAACTCTTATATTAAAAACCAGAGATAGTATTACTGATGATTTTCTTTACAATACACGTGCTGAATTTGAGCACCACGGTTAATTGCCAGTGCCCGGCGGTCACAGCGCTGCTGTATCCACGTCGAACGAAAGGGTCACAGCCTTGTAAACAAAGATACTAATAGTTTACCTTTGCTTTTCCTTACTTCTGCATCAGCTGTCTTAATCTGAACGTCGGCAAAACGAAAGCAACTTTTTAGGTTTTGGAATGAAGGGATGCGCGGAAACGCACAAGGACTCATTAAAGGAAACTCATGCTTGAAACCATCACAGAGAGTGATTCTATACATCACAAGAGAAATATTCATAATGACAGATTTCATCAAACAAGCAACTTTTCGGTTTTAATCATACGAGAAACATGTCATCTCATCTCGATCGGCAACTAGTTTTACAGCGTATATTTTCACTAAGACGTCACAACTTCCGTTTGATACTTCTCTCTAAAAGACTACCAAGAAATCCATGATAAACGAACCAGCATTATAAGAATATTGGTTCACAGTCACAAGTAGCATATCTCGCCTGCACAGCCAGAAACTAGGAGGGTTCTCCGTTTGAATCAGACTTCCATTTGACTCGTTCAAAATTTATTTAACCATTTCCAAGCGGGCACAGGCTGCTGTGTCTGTGAAAGAGAAGGACAACCAGTCTTTGAAAAGAGAGAATGTTCCAACCTCTTTTTGGAATTTGAATTTCAAGTTTCCATTCAATCCAGTTAATTTTTCTTAATCAAAGAACCTGTTTTATCTTTCCCTAATACAGTGCTCTTTAGCAAAACAACTAATTTAATTTACATATATTAAAAAAATTAATTAAATTAGTTATTTGTAATAAATACGTAATGGTTTCTTAAAATATGTTTTTTTCATCATTATCCTAGCTATTAATAGAAACTCTTTTTTATACATGCAACTAATAGATATAATTTAAGGGAAAACTATAAATTTAAAAAAGAAAGTGAATTAAAATATTATATTTAAGATTAAAACCAACACTCAAATTGGCTTTCACATTTAAGATTAAAGGAAGTATCAACTAATAAACACAAAAAAAAAAAAAAATCATATATCATATTGAGAACTAGCAAATTTAAAGGGGGGAAAATCATGTATAACTTTAGTATCAACAAATCAACTGTTCTCCGGGAAAAAAATTTGTGGACATTGATAAATACCTCTATAAAGATATATACAGAAATAAACAATATTAGCTGGAAAGAATTTCGTTAAAGGCTGGGAGAAAGCGGACTACAAAAGAGGTGAAGAGGAAAGCCTTCAATATTTTAAACCATCCAAAATATCCAAATGCGTGGGGCTCTCATGGTCCCAGCGCGGTCTGGCATCCAACTCGTTATTGGGCGAGCTTCCAACACTCCTGCTGGAGCGCCAATCTCTGCCCAAACCTTCTTTTTTCTTGGCCAACGCTAAATCCTCACTTCTGCTAACTCCTGGAGTCCTCTTCCTCGCCATCACCTCCTCCAGCAAACTCCTATCCTCTTCAGATAGTTTTATTCCCACCGTTTTCCTACTACCTTCTATAGATATCCAGTGCTGTATTTTTGACTGGAAATCAAGCCCCTTCGAAGGAGATCGATTGGCCATTGGCTTCATGGCATCGTGTCTATATCTTCCAATGCTCATCAACTGGTGCAGCAGGGTTAATAATTCAAGAAGGTGAACATCTATCTTCTGTTTATCCGCATAGTGAAGCGTCAGGAGGCGGATTATGTTGCTTTCTCTGGCTGGATCATCTCCAAAGTCACTACTGTACACAATAACGCAATAATCTCAATTTCATTGTCCACACAATCTTACATTCATAGGTCAAGGACTCATAACCAACCTTTTATTCGCCCATTCGCCAACCCATCCAAAACCTTGATGTGCTCTGAACCGATACCAATCCAATAAAATATCAATTGCCAGGACATTCAATTGTTTCTCACCAAATAAATTAGACCAAGCGTAGGACCCCAAAGTAAACAATTAAAAAAGTGGATTTTTTAAAACAACAATCTTCCATGTCTTACTTGGTCGTATTTGTGGCAAGTGGAACAAGCCATTGAAGAGTTTTGTCAATTTCAGCTTTGACCTGAGTAATGGAGACCTACGGGTAATAGCCATTTAGCATATTCCAACCAGGAAAGGAGGAATCCACAATGAAGCATGTAAGACAGAGAAACAAATTAATCAAACTTAGGGAGGACATACCTCCTTCTTGGTATCAATAATTTGCAAGCGGGATGGAAGAGAAGCCTTGATATTATTGGGTAACGCGTGATATAATGTGTCCCTCATATTAGGCTGAACAAACATCGGACGAGATGCCTAATAGAAATCAACTTTTTGATTAAGATTTCTACCAACTATATTAGCATCACACTACACAGTAAAAGTACATATTTTCCTCCATCCAAAACTTACAATCATATTTATCTGACTGGTAATATTAGCATAGTGCAGCGCAAGGCCAGCATCGCCTAGTCTTTGAGGGCCCTTACCATTATTGACAACTGCAACAGATATACCTGCCATAAATTCACATTTTCAAGGAAAATTTCAGAGTATGATAACAAGATGAACCTATCTTCGAAAGATTAATCTGTAGACTCTCTTGATCTGCTAACGAGATGTAGATGGTAGTTAATGGATTGATGGAAACAGAATTTTCATACAAGTTTGCATGGACAGGAACAGAGCATGGGTTATTTATGTCGGACCACAGAAGATATTTAGCAAAGAGCATTACGCAGTGTAAACATGGCTCTAGTAAAAAAATGAGAGGTCATAAAGACATTCCATTGTGAGCCTCCAGGAAGAAATATTGCAGAATTAGGAGGTAGCAAGTTTATTTTTTTTCCTACCAAGGAGTTTCCTCCAGCGAATGCACAGATGGTGTCCCTCACTTCATGCAAGCTCACACAGGAAAATGTTGCTTTATTCTAAATAGCATGAAAAGCATTTTATATGGCCAAATATACATGAGTTCTCTTTACGGAGAATCTTGCCATGCCAAGAGGATGAGTTAATTAATAAAGCAAGTTCGAACTGCATGGTTTAATCTAAACTAGATTACTAGACCCTTCCGTACAGGGAGATGGGAAATGTTGTTAATTTCACATTATAAATGGAGATGCATATGAGATGTGATCTGATACCATAATTTCCAAGTGACTCAGAAATTGCTTGATGCATATAGATCACAATATCAACGAGCTTTTCAACTATCTGAGAACAGAAAACCCAATAGAATAAGACAATAAACCTAATAAAGCGAAATACTAATAAAAATTTCAATTCTAAAACAGATATAAAATATCCATGAATATTTCATTAAGGCAGGGAAATGCCAGGAATTACTTTATTCAAGAAACAATAGAATTAAAATTAGGAAATATTATTTCCTACAGATTCCCAAAATTTATATATGATTTAAAATATACCCCCTCCAAATTTTGAGACCACAGAGACTTGTTTTTCAAGCTTCTTACAATCTTTTTTTGATGCTTCAGCTCACTCTGAAAAATTGTGAGGCTCTCCCCTGCAATTACATAGAAGGTGACCCTCAATCAGCAGTGTTATATAAATTATTCTCCCCTACAAACATTAGTTTTTTTGGGTCCACAGGGATAGTATATTTTTTAAGATTAACAAACAGCAGTGATTATCTGAAACCATTTCTTGATTTCAAGATAGCATGGTCACGGCAAATTTTGTCAACTTAATGTTAAACATGAATAGAAAGTCATAATCCAAAAGCATGATTAAATCTAAAATCATCATTGGCAAAGATATAGAAAATCAAGGAAACAAATTGAGCAAACAATATTGCTGTTTCTGACCTTTCAGAGGAAGATTTAGGGACTCCATTTCCTTAATCTTTTGCTGATAATCTTGTTCAAACCGGTCAAAAGCATTTAATTCATGATATAATTCCTATCGAGAATGGAGGGAGTTAGTTCTTTCAAATAGGAACTACTAGTTGATTAGCAAAAGCATAAAAGAATCAAATGGCCAAATTCTTCAAGAAACATAATTACAGCTGCATCTTATTAATTGCAGATATATAATCTCAAAACATCTGAGAAACAACATTGCACAGCATAAATGTAGGAAACCAAAATTACAAAATTGGGGGTGCTCAATCAGTTCTCCAAGGAGATAAAAGGTCACGTGAAGCTTTATTTAAGACTAAAATGAGCTTACAGCAGTATACTGAGCTAGAGTGGTCAACTCCTGCATTGTCTTTTCTGCCTCTGCCCTAGGTTGCTTGTCACCGAAGGCATCCAATTCTAATCTGATATAATTGAAGTCATTTAAGAATTAAATCAAAGCAAGTGAGCAAATAATTGTCGTAAGTTGTCATATAAAAGTAATCTCACCTTGAGAAATATCGATCTAGGTTGTGCCACTGGGGGTCCTTACATGCATCCCCAAATCTAGCTACTTCCCGCGAGAAGACATTAAATTCTTCCCTACGAATTGCCCCCCAAAAAAAAAAAAAATCAGAGAAATAGAACACGGAAGGGAGAACAAAATTGCACATAAGGCCTATAAGCAAATTAAGCCCCTACGGGAAAAATGCTATTCTCTGAACAAGGAATAACCTTTTGTCAGCTTCAGCAAGACTTAGTAACTCCTTCATATCAGTTGAAACTAGGTGTTGCAACCCTTCAGATTGTAAAACCTCCTTTTTGAGGGTCTGAATGTTCTCTTCTGAAAGTGATTGGAACAAAATTGATCCTTTGGTTATTGTGTTAGCTACTTCAAACGCCAATATAGATATTTTATTTCCTCTAGAAGCAATGCCAGAGGAAAAACCGGTACTGGTGTTCAATTTTGGCATGCTACTTCCAAGTGAGTCAAGAACTTCTACTGCCCTCTCGCCCGCTTTTCCCAAGAAGGAGCCTCTCTGGGTGACCTATCAAATGAAGAAGCTTCATTCATTAAGAAGTTTAAAAAAATGATATATGAAGGCTGGGCGTTCGTCTAAATAATCCGATGGACCACCACAGGAACTTATTTCTTAAAGAAGGCAAAAAATCGAAAGACGAGAAAAAAATCAAATTATCTCTCTCCGTAATTTGATAAATTCAGTTAGCCACCACTTCCCGAGTCTGAGAAATAAACAGACTGTTGCTGGAATAGGGTAAGGATCTGAAATAAGCAGACTGTTGCTGGAATCGGGTAAGAGTAATACAAATTCAGTAAGCCACCAAAGCATAGATGTAAATGAATTATTTCCGGGGTATTCAATCAGCTCCCAAATTCAATCACCTATCCACAGGATGGAAGGATGGTTTGTATTGGATAAGATTACACCCCAACAAGTGAAATAAATTAATAAACTAGATTGGAAAAAACAATTAAGTGCACAAATTTTCTAACCGTAATAATCCAAATTAAGCCAGTCACATAGTTAAACATTATTAGATTTTTCCAAACTCCAGAAAAAACATTGACTAGCAGTGATGATAAGCATTTCGTAACTACATGTCACAGACCGCTCATGATGACCACTAAGTGAAACGTACCCTCCATGCCCCTGCTCGAGTTGGAGTCGACGACTTCAGTTCACTGGAAAACGACAACTGGAGCTCATCAGAGTCTCTCTTCTTTTGCCTTTTTCCATGATCTTTCTTGCTGGAAGCCGGAGAGGAATCCCCTTCCCAATTAGTAAAACTCTTTTCCTTCTTTAGCTTTCCGGAGAACCCGAAATTCTTCCTTCCAAATTCTTCGTTTCTCTCAACAGTCCCCGCCGAGCAAACAGCTCCCATTATGCTGTATCTGAGCCGATGAAAAATCCAATGCCTGCACAAATTCAGTATATATACTAATTGACAAGAGGGTGGAAATTTTGTAGCGAGAGCTATGGCTCCAGGAAAATGGAAAAGCAGAACTGAAATAATATTATAAATTAATTAACTGTATCTAAATGCAAAACGTTCGGTTTTGCCGGGCTGGGTTCAAATAATGGCATCTAATGCTTCTTCCTTTTCTCCCCAGAGAATCCTGATGAGCCGCCAAAGAAAACCCTACCTACTAGGATTGAAGAATTCAGTTATCACAAGTGTCCACGAAGGTTTGGAATATACCTAATTACGGAGAGTATCCAGGTCGAATACCAAAGCCAGAGTAGAAGAACAGAAAACAAAGATCTTGAGTGAGAAAGAATAGGAACACAGGAATTGACCAGCTAAAAAAAAAGGAGAATAGTACGATTTTCGGGTTTGACTGGGGGGATGGGTGGATAGATGACATTCATAAGAATGCATTTGTGGGCAAATAAAGAAGGCAAAAAGAAAAAGAAATAGAAGGGAAACAAATTAAAAAGGAACGCGCAAATGGGAAGGAGAGGAAATTTCGTGGCAGGGGTATTGACTCGAATGAAAGAGAAATGTGCCAACCGACGACTCTGAGCTTCCTTCTCCGTCAGGGACTGCGTATGAAAGAGAAAAACGTGAAAGCGCAGCCGAAACCAAGTCCTACCAACCTATGCCTTGGATTTTCTGTGTCCACTTTTTACTCATTTACCACGTTTTTCTTCCGCGCTCAGTTCTTTTTTTTTTTTTTTAATGTCAAACGGAGAATTATTCAGAGGATAATTACTTTTGTTTTGGAGGGAAAACAATAGTTTGTTTTTTTTATTACAAAAAAAATAGTTTGGTTTTAAGAAAGTGTATAGTGGATCATTTTTACAATTTTAGTTGACTAAGCTTATCTTTGGTACGGGGAGAGGGAAAGAAAGGGAAGTTTTAATGGGTTGGACTTAAAAAAAACATTAAAAGTGTGATTATAAAATTTTAATTAAAAAAATGTAAGATAAAAGAACAAGAACAAATATAATTAAAATCTTTTAATGAAAATTCTATAAATTTTTAGATTGAACTAATAACAAATTTTTCTTTCTCTTCTTTTCATTTTTCTCATACCAAATAGATTTTTGTATAAAATCAAACAGACGCTTTTTTAATGAAAAACGACTAAGTTGGGCCTGAAGATTTGCAAAGCCTTATTTGAAAGTAACGTTGATTTCAAATATATTCAATAAGTACATTTATTTTGATATATTTATTGTTAACTAGCTTTTTTATTAATATGATCTGACAAATTGTTTCTCATAAAAAATAATCAATAATGGAATGAGACGATCGCGGTCGAGTGCCGATTGAATAATACGTTTCACGAATGTAATACGTAAACATGCACACTTGTTCAAGCTCTACGCAGCTCGGGTACTTACTTTGTTCATCCTCAATATGATGGCCCCCGGGAAAGCTAATATTTAATCCCCCAAGCTAAGTCAACCTGTTATGAGAATTTTTTGTTCTTGTTTAATCACTGGGTTAGTTCCTATATATATACGCTGTAATATAGAATTCAGCACATGCATATAATAGATAATACGTGGATGAACGTTGGCCCAAAAAAAAAAAAATACGCGGATGAAATAGACATTATGACGCGGAAATTAAACCTTCTGAAAGACGTGGACGTGGTTGAGCGATAAATTTCTGGCCTGATCATTGACAGCACAAAATAGCAGTAGTAGTTAATATGACACTTTTTTTAAAAAATAATTCTAATTATTGCAAAATAATATATATCTCTCTCCTATGAACTTTGGCCAAAGAAAAACTCATATGAACCAAAATAATATACGTGTTATCAGGATTAGTTTTCTTTTCTTTAAATAAATTAAATTTAAACGTATCAGAATTTACATCTCACAATTAATGCTATATAGTTGGGAAAAATTTAATGTTATGTATATAATTTACAGAAAGTTAGATTATTATACTCATGACTCATGAATGACTTGTTTTCACACACACACATATACTGACTCCTACATTATAATTGTAAATAACGATTCTCGTGTCAACGAGTTTTAATTTGAAGATCTTACAGTATACTAGAACCTATCTAGGTATGCCTCCTCGAGTGTATAACTAGTGACGTTGCAGAGCAAATGACATTTTTAAAATAATTCCGCCACACACACACATATATATTGTGCACGTTGTTTAACAAGAATAGCTCCTGAATATTTTGTATGCACGGTGCAGCTAATACGCACACATGCAGTAATAATTATTTAACATTTCAAACTGCATGTTGCTTTTTTTTTTCAGTGTTGTGTTCCGTCAAAAGAATTAAATCAAATTATCGAATAAAACAATAAATAGCATAATAATGTGCTGCGCGTGAACTAACACACATCCGTAAGAGCCACTTAAGGGAGAGTTTCCTTTTTTCTAAAATACTTTTTAAAAGTATTTTTATGTAAGTCGAAATAAAACTCTTCTTACATACATACTTTATATATCATAAAATTATTTTTAAAATTATAATTTGGCTTCCATTTAAATATCCCTTTATAGTCAAAAATCCCCATAGCGAGTCTCTGCAATTGAGTTCCCATGCTCTTAAACAACTGATAAAAGGCCAAAGTATTCGGAATAATCATACTCCTCCGGTCCTAATTATAAGACCCAATTGACTTATTTGAGGAGATTAAGGAAGTAAGTTAAGTTGGTTATTTATAATAAATAAGTGTTGTCATTCCTAAAATATCCTTGCTAATTAAGTATATTGGCTAAAACTATCATTATTAGAAGGATTATCTTGGAAAAAAATACATAAATATAAGAGACAAAATGGATTGGGTCTTATAATTAGGACCAAATAAAAAGTCAAATTGGGTCTTATAATAAGGACCGGAGGAGTATATACATTTGTTGGTATATGCCGCTGTATTGTTAGAAGGGCATAAGGGTTCAGCTTAACCATCCAACAAAGCAATGGCCGCTCAAGCGTGCATTTAAAAAGGCCTATACTCATTGCTGGATCAGATAATTTCCAAGTATGAGAATATTTATTAATTACATGCTTTCACATTTTGTTTTCCATCTGACTAGCTAAAACCTACGTATGTGCCCATTTGATTTGAGGGGAAGATGGCAGCCCATACACACACACACACACACACACACACACATATATATAGACATAGACGTCCTAATTTAATTTTGCGATAAAACTAGACGAAGCTGCTGGTCTGTTTCATTTTATTTCTAATGGCTCTGCCTTGACGTCTCCATGCACGCTGCAAGGTATCCGAAGTAGGAATAGCAATTCACCTCAGAATGAAGGTAACTAACGAGCCAACGTTCATTAAACATTAGCATGAACCCAAACCATCTCTGATGCTGATGCCTAAAACATTAATGATGATCAATGACAATAATTAAATATTCTAGTCTTATGATTCGCTGCGTTAACCACCAACTACGAAGCAGGAAGCGCCGGCCACTTACCTTTGCCTCACAATCCTAAACCCTAATCTAGAATGGAGAGATTTATTTGATCTTGAATGGAGAAGACGGAGGGATGGCAGTGTGAGGCTTAAGAGATCTGACCGCAGTCGGCAATGACGACGGGCTTGGAGGTTTTGCCGGAGGAAGATCCAACGGTCTCGATCGCCTTGACCACCTCCATGCCCTCCACGACCTGCCCAAACACCACATGCTTGCCATCGAGCCAATCCGTCTTGGCCGTACAAATGAAGAACTGCGATCCATTGGTGCCGGGGCCGGCATTGGCCATGGATAGAACTCCGGGACCGGTGTGCTTCTTGATGAAATTCTCATCTTCGAACTTGGATCCATAGATGGACTCGCCACCGGTGCCGTTGCAAGCGGTGAAATCGCCTCCCTGACACATGAAGCCGGGGATGACGCGGTGGAAAATGGAGCCCTTGTAATGGAGGGACTTGCCGCTGCGACCGGTGCCCTTCTCGCCGGTGCAAAGGGCACGAAAGTTCTCAGCTGTGCGGGGGGTAGTGTCGGCGTAGAGTTCCATGACGATGCGACCAGCGGGGGATCCGCCGACGGAGATGTCAAAGAAGACACGAGGGTTAGCCATGGGAGAAGAGGGTGGGAGATAAGGAGAAAGAGGAGTAGAGTGAGCAAGTGAAGAAGGGAATTAATAGGGAGCGGTGAGAAAGGGGGTTTGGTCGGTTGAGAAGAACGGGGAGGATCCCAATGTTAATGTTAGCATGCTCTGGCAGTCACAGCCTGGGATGAGCAAAAGCGGATCTACTGGCTACAGCCTACAACCATGCGCCTTCTCACAAGTGGATTTTGATTTGATGAGCTGAGCTGAGCCTATTCCCAGGCCACAATGGGCCTGGTGAAGTCATGTTGGGCTCTGACCCAAACTCCACTTCTCCTGCTTCACATGGTTTGGATTCTCTGTTAATCATATGTTATACTCTTCCGATCACTATAAAATAAATCTTATATTTAGAATCAAAAAGTATATTGATATAGTAACGTGTCAATAATTTGATGCCGGATTCTTCTTTATATGTGTGTGTGTTGAGCATCGTGACATGAATCATAGATGTATATGGTTTCAATGCGGACAATTTTACACTGTATAAGAAAAAGTGCCCTCAGTGTCGGTAAACAACACTCTGACAAATTTATTGGCAGGAAAATTCTGGTCAGCGAAAGTAGAACAAATTTAATCTATTAGTCCATGCCGCTTTAAAGAAAAGTATACTCGTTAGTGTAGATAATATATCTCATAATTTATTAATTTGTTCCAGCAGAATAGAAATTACAATTTAACTAGAGACAACAGAGTGTGAAATGATTCACTTCAAGATTTAATTATATATATTTCTTGTTCATAATTACGTGTGAATGTACACTCAGGACGTTATTTTTAAGAATTATATACTTGCCATGGTTTTAATTGTAATTTGATGATATGATATAAGTTAGTTTTGAATGAATAATATTTTATAGGTTGATTTTGCATATGATTCGTAGCCACTCAACAGATGCAACAGGGCCATAACAACAACGTTTCATTGTGTGAAGGACGATGACCTGGAGATATGTTTGTCTTAACCTGGCCATTTAACTAACTCTGGTTGTTAAATATATAAGCTTAAGTAGGTAAATGACATGCCTTGATCTTTCATGTGCTGATGTGGTAAATGGAAGCGCGGGGATCTGAATCTGATATTGGCGTGAAGAGCCAGTGCAAATCCGGGTCCCGCAATCATTGCCTCGGAGCGGGATAAACAGTGCCGGATCAGGTGTCGGCGCATGCCTATTTTGCTGATCTGCCCTCCCATTAAATTGACACACCACGAATTTCTCCGCGGGGGATTACTGCTTTCCGGGGAAGAGTCGGCTTCGTTGGAGGAGAGACGGGGCTGCTTCACCCCTGTGGAATTCAATCCAACAAAGTCTCACAATTCAAGTCTGCCCACGTGGCCAATTAGTGCCCAGGATGTTGACCCCTTATTCTATTAACGGTTTTTTCTCCTATGGGCGAATACACTTGTACACCTTTGTTGACAAAGATAATCATTGATCAGGGCCAAATCCTGTCTACTTTTAAACACAGAGGC